AGCTGCCCTGTGCATTACAAAGCTGTCCTTTAATTATACAGTTACATACTTTAAAAAAAACAACCAACCCAACACGAGGTCTGTGTTACTGAGGACACAAGATAGCTGCAGAGGAATAAATAGATCAGTCTTTAACATTTCATTCTATCATCATGACTCAGTGTGTGGTTCAATGTCTCATTCACTAGAGCCATCATAACCAGAATTACAGAAAGCTCCATTTCCTCCTAGGCTTTTCCACTTCAGTGGCTGGTCTGTATTCCTGACGCTGCACTGACTGATGGGGTCACCTTCAGAAAATCACTTCCCCTGTCAGTGTCTGTATTTCTTCATTCGAGATGTCTTTGTTGGTAAAACACATCAAGACCTAGTGATTAAAAACAAGGTATATATGCAGTAGTAATTAAGTAAAAACCAGTTAGTTATCTTGTACTTATGGTGCACAGGCCTGTAAAGTCATCAACACACCCACCAGACCTGACACCATGGTACCCATGATAATGCCTACTGCTATTGTTCATGCATGACTATCAAAGAAGCCCTTTTCTGTATAGATGCTGACAAATACTACATTTAAGTAAGGAAATTCAACATTAGGTAAAGCAGGGCACTAAAAGCAATGGACTTCTGCAAGTTCATTCATCATCTGTTATGTGCTCTGAGTGAACCTGCTGACAAGGAAGTACTTTTACTCGTTTTTTCTCCAGTTTCCAGCCTTTTAAAGAAACTCCAAAATATATTTAATATATTTAATGGAGTTGTCTGTACAATCAAAAGAAAAAGATACAAAAACTAGCAGTGAATGAAAATAACCAAGTACTGGGACTTATTGCTGGTTCTCATTCTAAAAAGGCCATCAGTTCATGGAATCTCGCAGTGACAATAATAATGGACAAAGGTGCGAGAGAGACTAGAAGAGCAGTAACTTCTGCCACCCAGGGAAGATTTTACAGATGCCCTCCATTACACTCTTACAGAAGATGATCTTTTTGCACTAAAATATTCCGTGTTGCTAATACTTTCCGTACAATAAAGTGACAGAATCACTGCTAGAAAAAGGGGCAGCTGGATATTTAAACCTATCAAAGAGAACACATATTAGAAAAGACTCAGAAAGGATATGAAACCACACGTCCAAGTGGTTATGAAATAAAGCATGCTTAATGAAACTTCTGCTGAAAATGAGCAAACAGCACATGATTACGCTTTGCTTCTCTATTTTAATGTAAACTCTTCAATCTAACAAGCTGACTCCAATTGAGAAATTATTTCTGTGACCCTTGCTGTTCTGCTTTACAATTTCTTACAGGATACTTTTGCTTGGTAAATTTAGATTTGAACCTTCCATTCACCATTTCCCATCCTGTTTTCAGACTATTACTTCGAAATAGGACTCTTCAGTGTGTAACACTAATTACTTACAAAATCAAACAAACCCCCTTTTCATCACCTCTCCTCCTCCAACCATTACAAAATAATAATAGCGAAAAATCAAACAAACAAAAAATTAGTAGAGGCCATCACTATTTCTCCCAAGGAGCACCCAAAGCAGGCATCAGTCTTGTTGCAAACTAATAGTTCAGAAGATCTGGGCATTAACACATGCAATCTTTGGGATTTCGCTTTATAGAAATTAGAAACAGTACTGAATTTCTCACTGCCTGTTCTGCATCTAGACTATAATCTGTTCTAAGTAGGCATTACTTCTTATTATGCATATGTGTAGCACCCAGTCTGATGGGATACGCATTTTAATTGTGATGAAGAGAATTTATTCCTGTGAAAATCATGAATGCATACATAAATATGAACAGTACAGCCATGGGAACAGATTGGTGGGTGGGGAGAAACTTGAAAATAGACTCAATAGGACCAACAGAGTAATCACTCAAGAAAACCCTCCAAACAAAACTGAAGATTTGCCTAATAACTATGAAGACTGTAAAATACAAGTTGGTGGCCTTAGTTTCTACAAAGTGGAAATACAAATACACACATGAACAGCGCAGTACACAGTGCTGCTGACATTGCTCACAGTATTTCTACAGCACAAACATATGCCGTATTTGCAGATTTCACAACAGAAATCAAGATACTGTTTTCCCTGGGATTTAATTTACAAATTACGTCCAGTTTTTTAGAAGTACGATGTTGTTTTTTTCTTTGTAACCCTCCAAGAGTTCCCTTATTGCAGCAAACAAACACCTACAAATGTCAGTTAAAGGTTCATTTATTTCCTCGGTGATTTCCTGTAAAACTTGTGACTCAGCATGTCATCTGAACCTGCTACTCTGTGTACTGAGAGGACATCGAACACTTTTGCAACCATGCTCCAGCTGCACACTTTCTACCTCCTATTCTGTGAGCAATGTAGAAGTCATCACTGAACCTGGGGTGATCATTACCCTGTTACTAAATTGAGCCCTGAATGCATGAACACATGCACACACACCTTGCTAACTGTGCCAGAACTACTGGTCATCATTACTCACTAGAGATGAAAATACTTTTTTCTCTATTCACTATAGAAGAATGCTTTTCTTTCTCTCAATAGTTCTGATGTTAACTACAGTCTCGAGTAATTCCCTTGCATCACTGTCCTCCAGTCATAGAATCATGGAATAGTTAGGGTTGGAAAAGACCTTACTAATTCTTTTTCAATGAGATCTACTTTTAAAAATGTAGCTATCTTTTCAAATGCAAGCCAGAATCACTCATGTGGTTAGAGTATTTACCAGAAACATTTCTAAGACTCTTCCATTCTCGTATCTACGATGAACTCTTTCAGTCTGAATAGCTGGCTATTTAGCATCACAGACTTAGGACTAAAATCATTATGGCCTTAAAAAAAACGCCCTTCTCTCATGACTTCTTCCTATTTGGTCTTTGAATTTCTGTAAAAGTTTGGCTTCTGGGCTTTCAGAATATATTTTGCTTCCTAATGTAACTACATGGGTTTCTGGAAGCTGCTTATAAAGTTAGTTTTATTTATGCAAAATACATACTTTAATTTTTGTTTTTAATATTGAATTACTCTAAGCATTAAAAATGAAGTGAGTATTTTGCTCGGCAGGTTTAAACAGAACCCACTTGAATACTGTAGAGCGTATCTCTATCTGAAATAAGGAGTAAATTGTACTCTCTAATTTGTTTTCTTGGCATGATTCATCACTTTAGAGGCCTCTCTTCTGTCATTTCGTTTCCAGTCTAGATTTCTTCATACAAGAAAGTTTTTTTGTTCCTTTAATAGTTTTTCCTGCCTCTCTCTGAACTTTACTTTAACTGCTTTCTCTTTGAAGATAAGATCCCTGCAGATGAATACAGCATTCACGGTGAAGATACATGATTTGTATATAATCTCTCAGCTTTCTCTATTCATTTTTAATATGATCCTTTTCCTCTTGCTGTATGTACCGTGATGGGCCTGATTTTGGGGACCCAGAAAAGAAAGCACTCATTGTTTTAGGCACTTTCTGACGATTTGTTAGCAACAAAAGAAGGCAACATCTAGCTGCAGAGGTTTAGGCTGAAATTATTTCTGTTTCTAAAGAGCTTGGGAGGAAAAGCCTGCAATGAAGACAGCTTTATACAAGGAAGCTAGTGTGTTGCTGGGATCCTTTCCTGGGAAAGTCAGAGCCCTTCTCCACAGAGTTATTCTAAAGAACACAAGCGCAGAACAACAAAGCCATCTGCCTGTAACATCTGCTTGACCTTAGGAACTGAGTCTGTGTTTTGAATTGTATTTTGTACTGACTTAAGTAAGAAAATCTCTTACGGAAAATAACTTAATTTCTCCTCCTGAAAGGCCCTGATTTTCTGTACCAAGTCCTTTGAAAGAGGAGACTGCTGGCTGCCAAGCAGAAGTACCTCGTTCCACCTCTGGTGCTGGTGCCAGGCTGCGGGACCCAGGCCAACGCTTCCCAGCTGTCCTTCAGGCAGAGAGTTTTGACCCTAATGACATGTATGCAGACTTGAAGTTCTCTTTTCTGTAGGCATTACCACTAAACTGACCTGTGCTAGCCCGAATTAACCGCAGGTAATGCTCACTGCAGTTCACAGTGTTTCTACTCTGGCCTAAGTTGATTATTTTTTAAAAATTTACTCAATAAGTTATTGTGTTATGACCTTGTTTCTGAATGGACCCCAAAGTCACCTCAAATTGGCTCTCCTTCATGACAAAATGTGTTACTTATTCCTGCTCTTTATTTTATCCTCTCCTGGTCCATGTTTAATTGCTTTCTGAAATAAAAGGCTTCTCATGTGCCATAGAAAGGGACTTAATTTTTCCAAATCTGATAAAGACTTTATTATCCACAACAATTTCAGATTTTGTGCCATGGGTCAGGAGACCAGACTAATTCCATAGTTCAATAATACTCTACTGAAATTGTTCTCATGCTTAGAAAATTCAACAATGTTAACTTGTTCACCACCTGAACAGAAATACTTTAAAGGCTTTCTGAAAGCTTCATGGGTCCTGGCCCTCTAATTCTGAAAGTTATGTCTCTGTTCTTCAGGGATAAGTTTCATTTGCACAGCTTTACTCCTGGTGAGCAGGCATTTTACTAGGACTCCTTATGGCCAAAGATACCATGCAGTGAGGTATATGTGCTGCTTTAAGGTGTATAAAGAGACAGACTGACAGGGAAAATAAGGATAGATACGGTTGAGAAAGGATGATTTGGAAGAAAAAGTATGAGCCTGTGACAAAGAGAAGTGGATTAAATTCTGTGTTCTGACACACTTTCTGTAAGCTCCTACACAGATCACTTCAACCCAGATCCACAAAGAGAATGATATCCCTACCTTCCACTGACACCCCTGAGAATTAAGGCCCCAAAAACATTTTTGTGGAAGGAAGTCTTATTTTTCTGGGTCTCCAATATCAATCTGCAAAATCAGTATTACTGCAAAACAGCATTTCTTCCCCATTCATATCCACAGTATGGAAGATTTTAAACACAGTACTGGCTGTGGGGGGTATTAAACAAATAGAGAGGAGAAAAACAGACCTAAAAAAATACATTTCAGTCCCAAAGCTGTACTTGTCTTGCAAATAAACAGTCCCAGTGTCTCAGCAGTCTCAGTTTCTCTGACACACGTTGCTGCACTAGGAAGGTTCCAGAAGAGCAAAAACGTCTGTGAGTCTACTAGCATGAGAAAAGAAAGATAACCAGCAAGGGTATAGCAACCTACCCTTCCTTTCAAAACTTAATAGAAAGAGGAAACATTTCTATATTTGAAACGGAATCAAAGATTTTCTGCCAAAATATTGTTGTCATTAAGTTTCATGCATTTGATTTATTGTCACTTCCTGCTGTTCCTATTTAAACTCTCCTTTCCAGCAGGCATGCAATCAAAATCATATTAAGTGTTCCAACAGCTTGCTTGTCATGGCTATTTATAGTAAATAATTACTGATAGTTACTTTAAGAGAAGAATTAAGTCCTACACATGGCAATTATTTGGAAAATACTGATCAAATTCAGTTGGATCAACACTTGTATAGGACCTGAGGTTCGAGGCAGAATTAAATTGAGTCACATTTTGCTTATTTTAGCATCTATTTCATATTGCTTCATGATGAATCTACAGTGCACTTGTATCCTAGCATGACACAGAGATGTGAAGCTCAGAGAGACATTTTTGCTGCACTGAGTTAACTCATTAGGTATGAGAAAGTTCTCTCTATATGAACTCTCATGTTGGTGACAGGAGTTGCCATTTGCTCAACTTCTTTACAAACTATTTTAATAGCAGTGTTAAAGGGGTCTTAGGTTTGACCACAGCAAAAGTTTTTAAATAGCCATACTTTGGAGTTCGGAGAGTTTGGAAATTCCGTGTCCTGATAGAAAATAAAGTGTGTGTCTTCGGTTACAATGGAAATCACCATGGATGTCATCCAATAGTCTGCTGGACAGCTGGAATTTTAAGACTGCAAGATTGCAAATTAAAAAGCACCCAAGCAATTTTTCAAAGAAACACATCAATACAGCAAGCTTGTGACAGTGCCAAAGCCCCTTATTTTAGGGCTTTTCAGGACTTAGGCCTCTCATTTCATGATTAAATTGTCAACTGAATTTATTTCATGCTAACTGTCTCAGTACACTAAAACTGTGATCAAGCTGATGATTTAAGAAGACATCAGGATGAAGTGCTTAAGTGGCAGGCAGCAGGAGCACATATGCCTCCACGGATGCAGCTATCATAGGTTTCATGTATTAGATGCACTAATGTGAGGGTAATGGATACCAAAAGAAACAGATGATATACTGGCAGAATCTGCTTCATTAAAAAGAAATGGTGTAACTCTAAAGCTAACCTGTTAGTCTGGTAACATAAAGAATCTAAAAACTAGTCATATACGTAAAGGTGCACGCAAACTGGTGAGCA